AAAAACTTTTGAAGAAACGCTTACACATCTGATGATAGAAGACTGACTTGTCTGTGCAACTCTATTCGTAAAGCTGAACACAAGAAAGCTTAAATATCTTAAAAAATTTTAAAAGCATTTTTTTTTTTTTTTTTGTCTTTTTTCGTGACGGGCAACGGATTGCAACCCTCAGCCCGTACCGGACCGGGACCGGCAACGGGATCGCAACCCTCGGTGTTGCCCCCGCTCCTCGCTCAGCCAGTGAGCGGCCGGTCTGCATGTGGGATCCGAACCCTCGGCGGGAGCGCCGCTGCGCTTCCCAAGCGGCGCACTGTAGCAGTGTGCCACCGGGCCGGCCCTTAAAAGCATTTTTAATGGCAGGTAAAAAGGCACAGAATATAAAGTAAATTAAAAAGCCCAAACCGCAAACATTAGGATTCTTCCTTACTACTTTTGTAAAAGCTGTTTAAATGTGGATATAATATATATACTGTACATTATTTATCATATACACATAGAAATGTGTATGGCTGGCTAGATACCAAAATATTACAATATTTCTATTTTAGAATAGTGAAATGTGAGGTGATATTTTTCTTTATCATCTTCTATTTTCTAAATTTTCTACCATGAATATGTAACTTTTTATATGTAGAAAAGTAGTAAGTTTATTATTGTGTAATTATAACTGTTAATGGCTGCTGTAAGTGGATCAACATGGCAAATAAAAGTACTCTAAATTTACTACCATTACACCTTTAAAATGTATACAATACATGTACACATGCACATAAATGGATGTGTGGATATTTGTGTTTTTGTTTCTATACCCCTACAAAAAACAAAATGTGCATTTGCCAATTTATTTTTGGCCAATGTCACCTTAGTCTGAATTAACTTACTTTGGTTCCAAGCATTTTTTAGAGAGAATCAAGATGCTGTAAAATTACTTCTTAAATTATTGTTTGGATAAATATTATATTGTAAAGTATATTAGGCCACATTCTGAACATCTACCTTTAGCAAGGGACACTACTGAGATATATATCTTGTAGAAAATACAAGTTAATGAAATCTTATTTGGTAAAAGTAAATTGTAAATATAAAAGAACTGACTTTGGAGAACCTAATGTGTTTCTGATACTTAATGTAGATCATTTAATTTTCAAACTCTGCAAGATAGGTATTAGTGTCTCCATTTTATGAATGTGGGAACCAAACTCAGAGAGATTAAGATCACACAGTTAATACATTAGCTAATATTTGGTGGGGCTGGAATTTGAATCAAGGTATCAATATAAATATCATATTCTTTCTACTATTCTGCAGGGCCACATAAGAATACTCTGCATCAAATAATACCTTTCAGGGTAAATTACAGTAACTGAAAACTTGATGCAACTAACACTTATTGATTATATATTGTATGCCCAGGTGTTCTTACAGACAGACACTCTCACCAATTTTATTTTCATTAAATTCCATCAAGTACACTAATTTTGTAAATATTGTATTTTTCATGATGTGTGCATTTTAATATTCTAATATCCTCTGAATTTGTCACATAAAACAGGTGCCAATAGTATATAGTTCCCACTGGAAATTAAAGTTATAACTTTCATTAAGGAAAAATGGGATTAAGTCATAATGCTTTTGAGCTAAGTAAGAGTTTTCTGAGATTGACTAATCCTGCTACCACATGTTACAAATGAAAAAACTGAGGTCCAGAGAGGTAAGGTGTTTGGCTTAAGGTCACACAGCTTATTGGTGACAGAGCCCAGACCAGAATTTAGGTTTCCAGATTCCCTGTGCAATACTCTTCCCATTGCTGCCACCCCAGGGCTGACAACTGTTTAATAATTAGCTATGTCTGGGCTCATTCCCACAGACATTTGAAACAACTTAAAAAGTACATAGAGAACAAGGTTGAAATTTATAGAGAGGGAAACTATAAATATGAAAAATAAGATGAATACAAAATATGTGCCAAAAATTCCTGTGTTTTTACCTCATTGCCAGTTTGTTTGCTCACAGAAGCAGTACAAAAAAGTAAAGATATTTTAAACCTGCTTTTTAAAAGACAGAAAAACAATACAGAATAGATAATAAGTCCAAAAACCTATAACCATCCCATACTGTTATTTGATGCTTTTCTTTCAGGTAAAAGTTAGTCTTAAGACCTCTTTCCTCCTCAGTCATTTGTTTCTGGCACTGGATTAATGTTTGCAGGAAATAAAAATACTGAGATTAATTGCTTTAAGTAAAATGTCTTAATATAATTCCCATCTATTAAATAAATAGCCAGCACAGGGAGGTTCACCATTTTTCAAAAGCCAAAAATGAAATGTGCTTACCTCTGATTACAAAGCTGACATGCAAAGCAGTCCAGGTGGTAAACATTGTCCTTGGCCCGCATCACCATCTCAAAGGCAGGGATGAGCTTACTACAGGCAGCACAGTTTCCTGTCACACCGAAGAGCCTAGAACAATAAACATTTTTTTTTTCCCCCAAACTCTTACAGAGAACTCTGAGACTGTGAATAGAGAAGAGGCTAATATACCCTGTAAAGCTATCAATACACAATGCCTTATGATGTACACAGGTGAGGTTTATCCTAGTTGTATACATAAATATTCTTCTGCAATACATTCTCCGTTGACCTTTCTTGATGAAAATCACATCTTGTTTGAGAAGAAAGGAAAAGACAAATACATTAGGAAGCTTACATAACTGCACACAAATAGAAGTCAATGGGTGTGAATTCACAGCAAAAATCCTCTACTTGTTAGAGTATACAGTAAATATAAAAGCAATATAACTTTGATCTTAATGTTATATATGAAACAATTTAGTTGGAAAAGGAGCCATTTGAATGACTCACTATTTTTTGACATCTAGTTACTAAAAGGTTTGCCATTATTATTAGAAGAACATTTATGAACGAGCCATTTAAATAGTCAAAAAACATAGTGGCACATGTACCTTATGGCCCTATACCATGGTTATAGCTATGATTATGTTATTCAGGTAGCACATTAAAGTAAATGAGGCTGTAAACTATATATAGCTAGACCAGGAGTTGAAACATAATATACCATCAGAACCATTGAAATTGTCTGGAAAAAAAGGTATTTTAATTAAAGTAAATGAGGCTGTAAACTATATATAGCTAGACCAGGAGTTGAAACATAATATACCGTCAGAACCATTGAAATTGTCTGGAAAAAAAAGGTATTTTAAAAAAATCCTATTTGCTCTAGATTTCTGAAAATAGTTATTGTAATGACCTAAAAAACAGTACAAAATAAAATATCTCTATCATTTCAAAATGGGAGGAAATAAAATATTTTATCCATTTGCACTGGCAGTATTTAAACCAAGTTTCTTTAAAGTTGGTAATGGTGGTGAAGAATTATTATAAATAATATTCTATGCATAGTAGCTAATGTACTTTTTAACTAGGAAGCAAACTAGATGAAAAACACCACATCTGCCAGTTTTCTTTTTTCTCCAGCATCAGGCTGACAGGAGAAAAATATAATGGCTCTCATGGGAAAGACCAAATTAAAAGCAGTTCTAAACTAATGAATTCAAAGGTGTTATGGAGGAAACTCATTTTGGTTATAAAAATGTTCTTTAAAAAATCTTAGCCTTTCATTTTATTGATTTTAAGGATTATGCACAAACGTGCTGAAGTCTCTCTTCTTATTACTTTCTACATACTCCAAAGATAAGTCTTTGCTTAAGGCATGCATATTCATTTTCAAGTTTATAACTATTTCCTCTTAACAGGCTAATGACAATTGTTGCAAACAGTTTTGAGCGTGGTTGCTGAGAGTCTGGCAAACGTGCAATAAATGTTTATTCTCATGTTTTTGTTAGATTGTCTCTTGAAGAACATAAGCACCTTGAGGGTAGAAACTGTAAATGCTTTTTAAACAGTTTGCTAACACAATCTGTATACCTGATGAAAAGTAAGCAAGGTTCATATTCAAGAGGATTAAATTCAAAATTGTTAGACGTTTATCTTCCTTAAAGAATTTATAAAAACATTTTATAGGAATGCTTATTTTAAGAAATATAACTTGAATAACCTTTGTGTTTTCAGTTTACAATCCACATTAGCGGAAATAACTTTTCTTTAAAAAGAACTTCATTGAAAATGTAATATCTCGTATCTACTACTGGCATCATTAAAAATGAAACCATCACAAACTCGAGCTTTCATTCTATTCTTTTGTAAGCACAATTTTTTGGTTCATTCTAACATTTCACATGTACTTTTCAGTGTATTTCAGAGGATCTACCTATTCAGGAGTCCCATCACTTAACATGTGCCATTTGTTTCTTCTGTACTTTATTATTTTTGAGAAATAAGAAAAAACTTAAAAGTACTTTATTCCATGAAAACAGATATACTTGTGGATATAAAACCTGGTTAACATGAGGTAAAAACCATTTTTAAGAATTACTCAGTTTGCACATACCTAATAAACATACACACACAATGCCATTTTGAAATTCTGAACATAGTTTCCCCCAATTTCAATTGCTCTCGCTAGCTGAGCATTTATCAGCTACCTGATTAGAATTTGTTTCCACACAAACCATTGATCATCAGCCTATTACTAGGCAAATGACAGTTAATTACCCACTACATTAACCACTGGGACCTGAGACCTGCTTCTGCTGCCATCAGTCAACATGATAAATGTGGCAAGTTCAGTAATGCATGGCCAGCCCTGAGCTGCCTGCTATACTGTGAACAACCCTCAATCTCACTTCCAGGCCCAGGAAAATCTATGGCAATCTGCATAATTACAAGCTCTGGGTTAATAACAGACAAATGATTTGTTGCATCTAAACAAAGTCCTTGGAATGGTCCCGGTCTCTGGTGGCTGCCCGTACGGCACACTGCCACTAGTGTACTTTTCACTACAGCACGCACAAAACAGTTCTCTGACGCTATAGCCTTCCAATTTGTTGCCTGCCAATTTATGGATTCTGCATATGTGATTTTTAATCATTAAAGGACTCTTGAAGCAATATTATCTTAATTATTCTCTGCTGTAACCAGGGAATTAGGCTTCAGATAAAATTTTCTTCTTCCACGCACTTTCCCTGCCTCACTGGAGGCTCCATCAGTTTCCATCTACACCTGGACTCTGAAATCCTAATGATGAATTATTGCCCCTTTTCCTAAGAGGGCGAACCTTACAAGGGAACATTTTACTGAACTGTCAGCTCACAGACTGAGTGCGGAGATGCGGAAATCTGATCTAATTTACTGCAAAACGATGCGTTTGTTAGACTTTTTCCTCAGTTTTGTACAAGGATCAAGAGATCATTCCACAGCCACATTCATGTTCTCCTTTTTCTCAGTGGGGCAAACCCAAAATTCTCTGGGAAAGAAAACAAAGTACTATTTTATAAAATGGGGTTCTCAAATGTACAATATTATCTTTTTATTTTCAAACGTGACATTTGGATTCTCAGGGAAAAAGAATTTTCCTATATATCAATTAAGCTTAAGGCACACATACAAAGTACTATTTTATAAAATGGGGTTCTCAAATGTACAATATTATCTTTTTATTTTCAAACATGACATTTGGATTCTCAGGAAAAAGAATTTTCCTATATATCAATTAAGCTTAAGGCACACATGGTCTTCATTTGTATGATTTTTTCAGGTGTATCTATGAACTATTCAAGAAATCTCTTAATTATCTAATTCATTTAGATTCTTCATAATCCTGAATATTCTTGTAACCCTTTTCTCTGTGCTCCCCACTCCCACACTCGTTTTTAAAAGAATTAACACTGATCCACTTTTCTATCTAAGTTAGGGATCTCTGTTAACTCTAATTTGTAGTGCTAATGCAGTCTTCTTCTACATAAGAGGATGGCCTAAGAACGCTTACTAGTATACTAAGACAGACAATGCTTTATTTAAAAGAGGAAATGGTTTTGAAATTTTGATCTAAATTAATCATATCTCCTAAATTTGTGGTAAGAAAAAACATAAGCTCATTGGTCCATTTTGCACATTTTAAGATGTCTTATAGATTATTAAGGTATGGCAGGTGTTAATTTGCCAGTGCATGGGCTAGACTGTTCCCTCACATTTATGCTCATAATAGGCTTTAAGCAATATGACCTTTATCCTGTTTCTGACATACTACCCAAAGCAGACTTACAGTACAAAGGTGACAAGTATCATCTCTACAATATCAGTGCATATTACTATTTGCAGGAATCCCAAAGGATGTTTCTGTCCCTTTTCCATTCCATTTTTGCTTTTACTACATGGTACTGACAATCTAAAAACAGACATGAAGATGAAAACCAAACAGACAACTTTCTTACGGGTAGGAACTCAGCTTATCTGGATGCTGTATTATGCCTCCCATACTGTGGTGAGCATGCCCAGAGAAATACTTAATTTTTGCATATGGGTGTCATAGTAGGAACTAAGAGAACTAAGAGAGATCATGTTTATATTTTTGAAAAGAACCCAGAACATTTTGTATTTTTACTAAATGTTCAACAGCTTTGGCAACATAGTTGTAAATCAGGTGAACTCTGCATGGTTTAGCATATTTTCATTTCTCAAGTTCCTAGGAGTGGGGGGTAGAGAAAAACTCAAGACATATAATCATTTAACATAGCAATAATGAATATGGTTTACTACAGGCATCAGGGGAAAATGAGTGTTTATTGTATTAGTGTCTTTTGTTTCAGAGCACCAGATGTTTCTATAGATTTTTTTTTTTTTTTTTTAACCAGGTCAGTGGCGCAAGTCGCTAAATCAAATTCCCCCAAGCTATGGAACGCATATAGTATTTGACTCAATTTATTACTTGGGAAAAATGCACAAATAAATATCATTGAGGTAAACTTTAATTCTGAGCAAAGATCAAATTTTTTCTTCTAGTCATCAGGCAGTCCTCTTTTAGTGACTTAAGTATGAATAAATTTAACAGTAAATATTTTTTAAAATGTTGAAGATAAGACTAGTTTATTTATCATTCTCTCTCTTTCTCTCTCTCTCTCTCTCTCTATATATATATATAAACAAAAACAAAAGCACCCCTGTAGAGATGAATGGAGAAGGAAAAGTTTGGCTTTCTATGGATGTGAAATTGTAATCAATTGAAAAGAGCTTTAACTTTTGACTGCTGGACGGTGAAGTTTTACTGAATAAGTTATGTGAGGAAGGAATACAACATTTTCACAGATTGAGAATGGCAACTGCTTTTCTTTGTCTATTGCAAATACACTTCTTATCTCCTTTCTTTCCTATTTCACTTTTTAAACTAAGGAAGGTAGTGAGAGAATGAAAACATGTTAAACACTCAATTCTTCTATTTTAAGCTTAAAAAGCTCACCCATTACTAGGCTGAAGAGAGTCGAACCTATTGTTCTCTGTCCTGTGGGGTCTTGGTATGTGCTCCACTGTCATAAAAATGAAGATGT